TCATGCCTGTAACATGCATTCACATCATGTAGACAGTGTGGTCATGCCTGTAACATGCATTCACATCATGTAGACAGTGTGGTCATGCCTGTAACATGCATTTACATCATGTAGGCAGTATGATCATGCCTGTAACATGCATTCACATCATGTAGGTAGTATGGTCATGTCTGTAACGCACATTCATACATGTAGGCAGTATGGTCATGCCTGTAACATACATTCACACCATGTAGGCAGTGTGGTCATGCCTGTAACATGCATTCACATCATGTAGGCAGTATGATCATGCCTGTAGCGTGCATTCACATTATTCAGGCAGTATGGTCATGCCTGTAACATACATTCACACCATGTAGGCAGTATGATCATGCCTGTAACGTGCATTCACATTATGCAGGCAGTATAGTCATGCCTGTAACATGCATTCACATCATGTAGGTAGTATGGTCATGTCTGTAACGCACATTCATACATGTAGGCAGTATGGTCATGCCTGTAATATGTGTTCACATCATGTAGGTAGTGTGATCATGCCTGTAACACACATTCGCATAACGTAGGCAGTATGATCATGCCTGTAACATGCATTCACACCATGTCATTCACATTATTCAGGCAGTATGGTCATGCCTGTAACATACATTCACACCATGTAGGCAGTATGATCATGCCTGTAACGTGCATTCACATTATGCAGGCAGTATAGTCATGCCTGTAACATGCATTCACATCATGTAGGTAGTATGGTCATGTCTGTAACACACATTCATACACGTATGCAGTATGGTCATGCCTGTAATGTGTGTTCACATCATGCAGGCAGTGTGGTCATGCCTGTAACATGCGTTCACATCATGTGGGTAGTATGGTCATGCCTTTAACGTGCATTCACACAAGCCCATGTAGGCATTCACATCATGTAGGTAGTATGGTCATGTCTGTAACACACATTCATACACGTATGCAGTATGGTCATGCCTGTAATGTGTGTTCACATCATGCAGGCAGTGTGGTCATGCCTGTAACATGCGTTCACATCATGTAAGCAGTGTGGTCATGTCTGTAACATGTGGTCACATAATGTAGGCAGTGTGGTCATGCCTGTAACATGTGTTCACATCATGTAGGCAGTGTGGTCATGCCTGTAACGTGCGCTCACATCATGTAAGCAGTGTGGTCATGCCTGTAACGTGCGCTCACATCATGTAGGCAGTGTGATCATGCCTGTAACGTGCGCTCACATCATGTAGGCAGTGTGGTCATGCCTGTAACGTGCATTCACACAAGCCCATGTAGATGGTAAGGCCACAAGGGAAGCGCACATCTAGCCGGTGGTCTTCCCGGGTCATGGGCGTGGGCTCTGCAGGCCCCTCGGCTCACTTTCCACGAGAAGTACACTCACTTTCAGCCGGGAAAAGCGTGCGGAACGGGAGCGAACCAAACCCAGGCAGCCGGGGGGACGCGAGCACGCGCTCCTCACGCCCGCAGGAAGCGAGCGGCGCACTCACCCGTCGTAGCTGTCCACGCTCATCTCATACAAGGCCTCCTTGGCGTGGTTGGCTCGCTCCGTGACTGCGGAGAAACGCACGGCGTCAGACCTGTGGGCTCCCACAGCCCAAGGCAGTGGCCCGTCCTGGCAGA